GGACCCTCGTTTTGGTTCCCTCTGGGGCGAGTTTAACCTCTGGCTCTGTTTCTCTCTGCTCCGCAGGCCGGTGAGGAGGGGTTGACCCGGCGTTGGAGCCCAGACCCTGGTCCTGGGGGCGCCTGCCCCATAGAGGCCTGCAGGGACTCAGCCCTGTGTACCCTGAGTAGGGCTGAAGGAGACACCACTTGTGGGGCTGGGAATGGGTGGACAACAGCGCTACCTGGTGGCCGCAGCCCGGAACCGCAGTTCCAAAGTGCAAGAGGGTTACACGCCCGAAGGGGGGCTGTCAGCTCTGCGACGTGCCGGGGGGTGAAACACGGTGGGCACACGCCGTACTGGAGGGGATCCCCACTGAGGAATGATCCATGCAGGGGCCCACGCTTCGCGGCAGGACACCCCAGCTGCGAGCGGGCATGCGAAGACCCAGGCTGCAGAAGATGGCAAGGCACGTGCTTTGCACCAGATGTGATTGTGAACAGGCGTGCGAGGGCCCCAGGATGTGAGTCAGGGAAGACACACGCTTTGCACAAGGGGCTCTGGGATTGTGAAGGCTCCAGGGCGTGAGACACGGCAAGCCCACACTGTGCACAAGGGTGAGCAGTGAATGTGAGCTGTTGTGCAAAAGAGCCAAGCTGTGAAACATGCTCAGCCTGTGCTTTGCCCCAGGGGCACCGTGATTGTGAACAGGCATGTGAGGGTTGCTGGCTGTGAAACACGGCAGACGCATGTTTTGCACCAGGGGCTCTGGTATGCGAGGGACCCAGTGTGCGAGACTTGGAAAGCACCTGCTTTGCACAAGAGGCTTTGGGATTGTGAGCAGCCGTGCGAGCCCCTAGAAACGTGAAACAGAGCACATGGGAGTCGTAACAGGTGCTGGCCCAGTGTGCACAGGGGCTGAGTGTGAAAGACAGCGGGTCCCCTCTTTAGACAAGACTGCGCACACTCACACCAGGTGCCCAGGAGGCAGATCACAGAGGGCACGACCCTCACCCAGGGCAAATGGCTGTGCGTACAGCACCAGGCGCGCCCAAGGCCGGTTCTTGTTGCTGACCAGCCTGGAGCACCATGAAATACCCAGGCTGGAACGGCCTCTTGAGCATGGGGTTTAATGTGGGGGACACCGGTGCCTTGCACATTTCAGCCAAGAAACAAACCCGGGGCCCTCGGCCCATTGTGGGCACTAGGGCCCTCCTGGTTCCCCCTCCTGCCCCAGACTGAGGGCACGAACCCAGGCGTCCTGGCCAAACCCAGCTCCCGTGATTCCCTAAACTCCCCGCTGCAGTTGCAGTTCTCCCTCACACACTGTCCTAAACCCCCGGAGGTGGCTGCATCATCACCGAGGGGTCCCTGTGTAAACAGCCCCTGCCCCCACCCCAGAGGTGGCCACATCTCAGCACCGGGCAAGGGGTGCCTGTCTAGCCATTTGGGCTCACGGTCAGGAACATCTCAGGCAAGTGGGGGGGGAGCAGGAACTGGAATCCCCTAAATTAACAGGGGGTCCCCATGACATGACAGTCCCCGGGGGTTAGATGCAGGGTGTGAATTACCCCGCAGAGGTGGCGGGAGGAGTTTCATGGCCATCAGCTCTTCGGGGCAGGGACCAGCTTTGGGGTTGCGGTTTGTCCAGTGCCTGGCGTCTGGGGGTGGGGGGCTGGGGCACCCCCACAGTCCCCTGAATGCCCAGCCGTGCTGCCATACAGCACCTGGCACATGGGGCCCTGGGGTGCCAGATGCCCAGCCATGGTGCCGTACAGCGCCTGGCGCGCGGGGCCCGGGGGTGATGGAGGCCCAGCCGTGGTGCCGTACAGCGCCTGGCGCGCTGGCTCACGGCAGTCTGATGGTCACAGACACAGCTGCTGCATTGGAAATAAAAGCCGTCTGCCCACCTGCCTGCCTCGGCCTCTCTTCCTTCTGAGCTCGGCTGCCCTAGGTCCAAAAATCCCCACCCCGCCCCCAGCTCTCCCCTTCCCCACACCACCCCCCATCACAGGGCTCCGCAGCCCCTTCCCCATCCATCACCCCGACAACCTGCCAGCCCTGGACAAACCCCAACCCCGGCCACTAGGACCCTTCATTTTCAGCTCCCCCTCCGCCACACCCCCATTGTCCCCTTGCATCCTGCCCCCCACTCTGTCAGCTCCCCTCCCCATTCACAGCCCCCATCTCCTTTCACTTACATCTTGCCAAGGCCCCCTCAATCCCAGGGACACCCCCTTTTCTACTCCTGCTGCCCTGTTTCCTTCACCCAGCCCTAGGCTCTCCCAGACACCTGGGTCTGTTCCTCGCTTGGCAGAGCTTGGCCTGGACCCCGGAAAGAGAAGGGAGGCCTGCGCGGAGGGTGGGGGGGGGGTTGCTAGAAAAGACGGGGGACCAGCTTCAGGGAGTCTGAGAAGCCCCTCAACCCCCCTGCTTCCACAGTTTCGGCATGGGTGGGGGGGGGCGCCCCGAGAAATCACCAGTGCCCCCACGCCAGGCCCCAGTGCCCCCCGGGGTGGGGGAGAAAAGGTCATGACAGCTGCTCCGCTTTAGCTCTTTAATTAGGAACAATCTAATTAGAACAAGAATCAGGTCACTCAGAGCCAGCCAGGCCCAGGATGGGAGCCGGCGCCCCCTGGAGGGGAGAGGCCCCGTGCCCCATTCCCCGCCCCCCTGAGCCAGCCGGTCCCTGCCCTGGGGCCGGATGGGAGCCGGCGCCCCCTGGAGGGGAGAGGCCCCGTGCCCCATTCCCCGCCCCCCTGAGCCAGCCGGTCCCTGCCCTGGGGCCGGATGGGAGCCGGCGCCCCCTGGAGGGGAGAGGCCCCGTGCCCCATTCCCCGCCCCCCTGAGCCAGCCGGTCCCTGCCCTGGGGCCGGATGGGAGCCGGCGCCCCCTGGAGGGGAGAGGCCCCGTGCGGCCCCGCTCAGGCCGGGGGGAGGAAGCTGTCCAGGCTGTAGACGCCCAGGCTGGGCGGCTGGTTCCGGATCCGGTGCCAGAGGTACCGGGGCAGGCGCCGGAAGCCCGCCCCACAGGGGCAGCGGAAGCAGGGGGCCCCAGGGTGCCGCCCCCCATGGCGGCCCAGCGCCCGGCGCCCCTTCAGCGCCTCCCCGCAGGCGGCGCAGAGGAAGGCGGCGCCCTCCAGCTGCCGGAGCTGGTGCCGCAGGAGGTGGAGGAGGCCCCGGAAGGGCCGGCCGCAGCCGCAGCGCTGGTGCCCCGGCCCCCGGCGGTGGGAGCGGAGCTGGGCCGCCCGGCCGTAGCGCACCCCGCAGTCCGGGCACCAGAAGCGCCGGGGCCCGCGGGTGTCCGAGGAGTGCTCAGGCCCCCCGGCGCCAGGCGGGCCGGCCACCGCCTCCTCCCGCCCGCCGGGGTCCGCCTCCAGCTCCACCACGATGAAGTCGTCCCCGGCCTGTGGTGCCACGCCCCCCGGCCAGGGCTCGGCTGCCAGCCCACTGCCCGGCGCGTACTCCAGCTCCAGCACCTGGGGCAGCTCGCCGGGGTGGGTGGGCACCAGGTGGAGGAGCAAGGGGGCCCGCGGAGAGGGGGGAAGTTTGAGGGGGTCCGGGGGGCGGCACTGTTGGTTGAGCGGCGGGAGGTAGCCCGTGAGCTGGAAAGCCGTGGGCTGAGCGTCTCCGGCCTCGTCGGGAAGCTCCCCCACCATCTGGCTGCCCCACGGGACGAGCCCCTGGGGGTCAGGGAGCAACGGGACCAGGCGGAGGGTCACCGCATCCACCGCCGTGCTGAGGCAGGGCTCGGCTTCCAGGAACAACGAGGGCGGGAGCTCCTCGGCCCGCAGAGGCATGGGGTGGAGGGGACTCACGCCAACTTGGCTTTCCAAGATGGCCGCCGGCTCCTCAGCTCCCACCACCACCGTCCGGAAAGAGTGGAGAGGGCTGGCGCCCACCAGGCTAGCCAAGATGGCCGCCTCCTCCTTGAGGTGCGCCGGTGGCGGGGGACTCCCACCAACCAGGCTCTCTAAGATGGCCGCTTGCTCCTCGGTATTGATGACCAGCGTCCTGAGAGGGCTCCCGTCAATCTGGCCATCCAAGATGGCTGCCTGCTCCTCACTATTGATGACCAGTGTCCTGAGAGCGCTCCCGCCAACCTGGCTGTCCAAGATGGCCGCCTGAAACGCGCTCCCGCCAACCTGGCCATTCACTGGCTGCGGAGGAGTCATGACAACCTTGCCATCCAAGATGGTCGCCCGCCCCTCGTCCTCCACGTTCACTGGCTGGATAGGACTCATGCCAACTGGCCTAGGCAGGCTGAACTCCCGGCCCAGAGTCGGTCTACGCTGCCGGGTCCCTTTGGGCCCTTCCGTGCCCTGCCCCTTGCTCGCTGTCCGGGCCTCGGGCATCTGACGCCCCTTCGGCTGCCCCACACGCCTCCCGGGGCGGGCCCCATCCTGCCGTTTCCTGAGGCCAGGCGAACCCTCCCAGCTGGCCGGGGGGCAGGGGACGTCCCCAGAACCCGCCGGGTTCTTCCCGACGTCCGGCGGCTGGTAGACGTAGGAAGTGAGGGAGCAAGGCCGGGATCCCCATCTCCACTGCACCCGGATGCCCGCCTGCGCCAGCTTGAGGTGCCACTTGACGTGCCTGGTGAAGGGGGGGCTGGTGAGAGAACCTCTTTCCGCACTCCGGGCAGCGCTGCTTCCTCCGGGGCAGGGAGTGGGGCAGGGAGTGGGGCAGGGCCGGCTTGCGCCGCCGGGCCAGCTCCTGGGCATGCTCCTGGGCGTGCTGGAGGTAATGCCATTCCTCCACGAAGACCTGGCAGCACTCCTGGCACTGGTAGGCCCCGAACGCCTGGGTCCCCAGGGCGGTGGCAGGCCCCGGGCGGAAGGGGACAATGATGTTCTCCAGAGGCAGGGATTTGGTGGCGAAGGGGGGAGCCAGCAGGTTTGGCGCCAGGGGCCGGGGTGGGCGCAAGGGGGGCAGGGAGGTGGGGGCGCTGGTCTCCCCATCGTCATCGCTGCTGGAGGCTTCCAGGCCTTCCCACGAGAGGCAGTTCTTTGCGTTCTCCTGGGGGGGATGAAATGGGGGTAAGTGGGGGGGGAGAGTACCCCCACGCCACTCCCTGTGATACAGCACCCCCTACCGCCATGCTGGGGAATCGGGGCCAGCCCTGACTGGGGGTCCCCCACCTCCTGCATCACAGCCCCCCTGTTGCTGCCGGGGGCCAGTCCTGAATGCCGGGCGAGAGCCCCCCATCTCGCCCCCTGCAGTACATCAAGTTCTCTATGGAGTACCCCCAAAATGAACAGGAAGTGGAGTAAAGTTCGGAGTCCAGACCAAAACTACCCTGAAATGACAGTCATGTATGTGAGGTTCATGCACTTCCTGTCTCAAACTGTTAAGCAGCTCCCTGCCCCCCAGAGGCAGACGCGTCTCAGGGCTGGGGGAGGTGTCCTGAATAACCAGCCTCTGCCCCACCCCAGAGATGGCTGCATCTCCCGTCCGAGCCGGTGCACCGCTGCTCAGACACGAGCGCCGGGACGTACCAGCCGCAGCGGCAGCTCCTCCAACACGCCGTCTTCAATCACTTCAATTTCGGCCCCAACCTCCATTGCCGGCACCGGGTCCATGGCTGCCTGGAAGCGAAGCGGGGAACTCAGTGAGTGGGTCGGCAGCAGCCGCCCTGACAGGACTTCACAAGCGCAGAGCAGCCTGCTGCCGCCGGTGGGGACAGAGAGGAGAAACTGAGGCACACAAGCGGGGATGTGCACAAGGTCGCACAAAGCATCTGTGGTGGAGCTGGGGAGAGAACCCAGGAGTCCGGGCTCCCAGCCCCTCTGCTGCAACCACTAGACCCCACTCCCCTCCCAGAGCCAGGGAGAGAACTCAGGAGTCCTGCGAAGGCAGGGGAAATCAGACCTCAGTTTTCAGGGTGGGGGGGAAAGAGAGAGAGTAAATTTCAGGCAACCTGGGAGAGGAGCGGGGTATAGTGCATAGAGCAGGGGGAGGAGGGGGGCTGCCCAGGGCCTGTGCTACCAACCTGGGGGTACATGCCTGGCCCAGGGGTGCAGCTACCCAGCCCAGGACCCACTCCTAGCTGGATCGCAAACACCCCGTGGGAGGGGGAGCAGATCCCCACAGCCCCCTCCCCCGCCAGCCTGCTGGCCAGGAAGCTGGCAGCCCGGGAGGGGGGCACAGGGGGATGCTGGGAAGTGTAGTCCCCCCCTTGCAGCTGTGGGCTTTAAATGGTCCAGAGCTACGGAGTGGGAGGAGGGACAATATGGCCTGTTTTTGTCTGGTACAGAGAAGGGGTGGGGGGGGGACGCAGAGATGGCAGTGGGGAGGGATGACAGACAGGGATGTGGGTGTAGGGAGAGGGAAGGGTGGGCTGGGGGGTTGTGGGGAGGGGGGTGGAGATGGATGGGGGTGGACAGAGGAAGTGTTTGGGGGCCGGAGAATGCCGTGGGGGGCCGGGGGACGGGCAGGGAGGGGGCTGGGAGAGGGGCCAGGGGGCTGGGGCAGGGAGGGGGCGGGGAGAGGGGGCCGGGCAGGGAGAGGGGGCCGGGGCAGGGGGGCCGGGAGAGGGGCGGGGGGGCCGGGGCAGGGAAGGGGCCGGGGGGCCGGGCAGGGAGAGGGGCCGGGGGGCCGGGCAGGGAGAGGGGCTGGGAGAGGGGGCCGGGGGGAGGGGGGCTGGGAGAGGGGGCGGGGGGCCAGGCAGGGAGGGGGCTGGGGGAGAGGTGGCCGGGGGCCGGGCAGGGAAGGGGCCGGGGCCAGGGGGCCGGGCAGGGAGCGGGCTGGGGAGAGGGGCCGGGCAGGGAGGGGGCCGGGGCCGGGGAGGGAGGGGGCTCGGATAGGGGCTGGGGAGAGGGGGCCGGGGCAGGGAGGGGGCCGGAGCAGGGAGGGGGCAGGGAGGGGGCCGGGGGGCCGGGGGGGGAAGGGGCCGGGGCCGGGGGCCGGGGAGGGAAGGGGCCGGGCGGCCGGAGCAGGGAGGGGGCGGGGAGGGAAGGGGCCGGGGGGCGGGGCGGGAGAGGGGCCGGGGAGGGAGGGGGCCGGGGCCGGGGGCCGGGGCAGGGAGCGGGGCCGGGGCCGGGGGCCGGGCAGGGCAGGGGCCGGGGGGGGAGCAGGGAGGGGCGGGGCGGGGGCCGGGGAGGGAAGGGGCCGGGCGGCCGGAGCAGGGAGGGGCCGGGGGGCCGGGCAGGGCAGGGGCCGGGGCGGGGGGCGGGGCAGGGAGCGGGCTGGGGAGCGGGGCTGGGGAGGGAAGGGGCCGGGCAGGGCAGGGGCAGGGGGGGGGGGGGGCGGGAGGGGGCCGGGGCCGGGGGGCGGGAGGGAGGGGGCCGGGGAGGGAAGGGGCCGGGCGGCCGGAGAGGGAGGGGCCGGGGGCCGGGCAGGGCAGGGGCCGGGGCGGGGGGCGGGGCAGGAGCGGGTGGGGAGGGGGCGGGGAGGGAAGGGGCCGGGCAGGGCAGGGGGCGGGGCAGGGAGCGGGGCCGGGGCCGGGGGGCCGGGCAGGGAGGGGGCCGGGGCCGGGGGGCCGGGCAGGGAGCGGGGCCGGGGAGAGGGGCCGGGGGTCCGGGTGCCGGGGGGCCGGGCAGGGAGCGGGGCCGGGCAGGGAAGGGGCGGGGGCCGGGTGCCGGGGAGGGAAGGGGCCGGGCGGCCGGAGCAGGGAGGGGCCGGGGAGGGAGGGGGCCGGGGCCGGGGGCCGGGCAGGGAGCGGGGCCGGGGGGCCGGGTGCCGGGGGGCCGGGGAGGGAGAGGGGCCGGGCAGGGCAGGGGCCGGGCGGGCGGAGCAGCCTGTGCGGGGGGCGCAGGGAGACGCGTGGCGCAGACGGGCGGGCGCGGGGCAGGGATAGATCAGGAGCTGGGGGGTCCCGGGGGGCCCCATGGGGGCTCCAGGGCGGTGGGATGGGGGGGCCGCGGGGGGCGGGGTCCCTGTTCCGGGTTTATTTGTCTCCGGCTAATTAGCGCCCCCCCCAGCGCTGAGCGGCGGGGGAAACTGAGGCACCGGGAGCCGGGTCTGACCCGAGCCGCACCGGGACAGGACCCAGGCGTCCTGGCTCCGCCCCCTGCTCCGCCCCCTGGGTCCCGCCCCGCTCCCAGGGCCACGCGGAGAACCCAGGCGTCCCAGCTCCCTGCGCATGCGCACCACTGTACTTCCTGTCTACACTTGTAGCCTCGTTCTGACTGGAGGCCACGCCCCTCACGCGGGGTCTCGTCGGGCAATGCCGGAGCAGTGCGCATGTGCCCCCAGCGGCGCGCGCGGGCGCGAACCCGCCATTTTGGGCACGCCCCTCCGCGCGCAGGCGCGTTCGGAAACAACGGTGGCCGAGCCGGTCCGTCCCCAGCCGGCGCCCAGATGCTCTGTTCGCGCCGCCGGGCTTCCCCAGCAGCCCGTCCCGGCCGCCCCACGGTACCTCAGCCCCAGTGAGCCGCCCGGTATCCCTCCGCCGTTACCGGGGAGACAGCCCCGGCTTCTGCTCTCAGCACCAGCGCTCAGGTATCGCTCCGCGGGGCGGGGTAGATAGTGCCGGGTGACGCCTCACACTCCTGGTATCCCTCCGAGGGGCGGGCGGTTGGGACGAGTTACCCAGGCCGGTATCCCTCCGCGGGTCGCTACTTCGGCCTTCCCTTCCCCTAGGGGTTATTCTTCCGCCGGGCATGTCGGTCTGCGGCCTCTTCCGCAGCCCGGTGACCCGCGCAGGGCATGTAGTCCCTACAGCTTCATAACCTCGCGAAGTATCCCTCCGCGGGCCCTAGGGCCCCTGCGGCGAGGCCTCGCGCCGCCCTGTATCCCTCCGCGGGCCCTAGGGCCCCTGCGGCGAGGCCTCACACTCCTCTGCCCATCCTTGCATGGGCCTTATAGCCCGGGGGTGACAGGTCCATCCCATATCCCTCCGCAGGCCCTAAAGTCCCTTGGGGCGACACCTCACCCCCCCCGTATCCCTCCGCAGGCTGTATAGCCCCAGGGGTGACACCTCACCTCCATCCTGTATCCCTCCGCAGGCCCTAAAGTCCCTTGGGGTGACACCTCACCTCCACCCATCCCGCCGCCCCCGGGTGACATCCCTCCCCCCCGCAGGCTGTATAGCCCCAGGGGTGACACCTCACCTCCATCCTGTATCCCTCCGCAGGCTGTATAGCCCCGGGGTGACACCTCACCTCCATCCCGTATCCCGCCGCAGGCCGTATGGCCCCGGGGGTAACCCTTATCCCCATATCTCTGTGGGCCGTATGGCCTCCGGGGTGACTCGTCATCTCCATCCTGTATCCCTCCGCAGGCTGTATAGCCCTGGGGTAACCCCCCCCCCGTATGCCTGTGTGGGCCGTATAGCCCCGGGGGTGACACCTCATCTCCATCCTGTATCCCTCCGCAGGCCGTATAGCCCTGGGGGGTAACCCCTACCCTGTATCTCTGTGGTGGGCCGTATAGCCCCGGGGGTGACTCCTCACCTCCATCCTGTATCCCTCCGCAGGCCGTATAGCCCCCAGGGGTGACACCTCACCTCCATCCTGTATCCCTCCGCAGGCTGTATAGCCCCGGGGGTAACCCCCCCCCCCCGTATCCTTGTGTGGGCCGTATGGCCCCGGGGGTGACACCTCATCTCCATCCTGTATCCCGCCGCAGGCCGTATAGCCCCGGGGGTGACACCTCATCTCCATCCTGTATCCCGCCGCAGGCCGTATGGCCCCGGGAGTAACCCCTACCCCTGTATCTCTGTGTGGGCCGTATGGCCCTGGGGTGACTCCTCACCTCCCTCCTGTATCCCTCCGCGGGCCGTATGGCCCCGGAGGTAACCCGTAGCCCTGTATCTCTGTTGGCCATATGGCCCCGGGGGTGACTCCTCACACACCTTTGTATCCCTCCATGGTCCATATAGCTCCCGGGATGACACCTCCCATCCCTCCTCTATTTCTTTGTGGGCCGTATAGCCCCAGACCTGATGCCCCCCCCCGTATCCGTCCGTGGGGCGTATAGCCCGGGGTGGGGGCACCTCCTGCCCCCCTATTCCTCTGCAGGCCATGTAACCCCGTTAGGCCATGTAACCCCGTTCTGCCGTATCGCTTCTCTGTATCCCTCCGCGGGGTATATAATCCCAGTGGCGCCCCCCTCGGGGTGGGGTCATAACCCTGGGGCCCAGAATCCCTCAGCTGAGCAGGACGTATCCCAGCAGCCTCCTGCCCCGTATCCATCCGCAGGGCTGATTCCCCCCCACCCCCACGGGTCTGATAACGCCCCAGTGCCTTAAGCAGCAGGCTCAATATCCCTCCACCACATGGGCCAAATAATCCCCCACATAGGTGCTGGGACTAGGGCTGCGGCTTGACGTGCTTTCCCTCACACCCAGCGTGGGCAGTTTGCTTCAATGGCGCTCAGCCACCCTGGGCCCCATGCATCTCGTCGACTTTTCTCTATGGTATTCCTCCGCCACGCTGGCGAAGTAGTCCCACGGGCCCTTGGTTTTCTCTCGGGCATCCTCCCGCGGTGCAGGTTAAGTAGGTCCCTGCGGTGGTTTGATGCTCCACTGCCTGGGTAAATAGTCCCTGGGGGCTTCACCACCTCTCCAGTATCCCTGCGCCCGTCTGTGCTCGTGTTCTTCTGCCAGGCAGGGTAAATAGTGCAGGGAAAATAGGCCCTGTCTTCCCCGTGGTGTCTCTGAGCCTTGCTGGTTAAATAACCCTGGTGCCCTTCCACCACGTCGAGTAAATAGGCCCTAGTGACCGTGTCTCCTCTGTGGTATCCCTCCGCAGTGTGTGGGGGGAAAATAGTTCCCAAGAGTGTGTCTCACACGCGTATATGTATCCATCTGCCATACCAGGCGAATAGTCCCTAGCGGCCTCTGCAATATAATCCTTCTCCACCCGTTCAGGGAAATAGTCCCTAGCGGCCTCTTTGTCTGGTATCCCTCCCCCACACGGGTCCTCCTCCCTTCTCTGGTGTCCATCCGCCATGCCAAGGAATAGTGCCCAGCAGTCTCTTCTCTGGGATATATCCCTCCACCGTGCTGGGGAAATAGTCCCAAGGCGTTGAGCCCCTGCCCCGTGTCCCTCCGCCGCCGCGCTGGGGTTGACGTGACTCTCACCCCCCCCCCCCCGCAGGTGGCGGCCATGTCGGACTCCGGGCACAGCCAGCCCGGCCTGTACGGCCCCGACCGCCGGCGCCGCTGGAACCGCGACAAGGAGCTGGGCCCCCCGGGCGGCCCCCAGAGCCTGTCGGGGCCGGGCCGGGAGCGTGACTACGGCCCCTGGGACCGCGAGCGCCGGGTGAGTGACGGGGCAGGGGAGGGGCTGCGGGGGGGCCGTGCGAGGACACCCTCCCCCTCACCCCTCTCCGATCTCTCCCCCAGGAGCCCGCAGAGGAGCCGGTCGGGTCCGTGATGCAGAAGACACCCATCATCCTGGCCAAGCCGCCCGCTGAGAGGGTAAGACCCACATGGGAAGGGCGCTGCCCCCTAGGGCCTGTCAGACCCACCCCCTGTGTGCGTGACCCCACCAACAGTGGGGATTGAACCCACCACCACCCGGGCCAGCCCACAGGGCTCTGCTGCTTCAGCTAAAGGAGCGGCTTCATCGGCCGGCAGCTGAAGTGTAGCTGGTATCCTCCACATGAAGCAAAAGGAGTTCCTCTGTCAGCATGCAGCAGCAGTAGGCTATTAGCTACTACATAGAGCAGCCGCTTAGCAAGGGTGTCTCGCAATCACTGCTTAACCATTTGCAGGATATGTGAGTCCAGTAAGAGTAAATGAGCTGGGCAGACCTTGGTCAGGAGTCCTGGGTTCTACCCCAGCTCTGGGAGGGAAGTGGGGTCTAGTGGTTAGTGCAGGGTGGCGGGGGAGAGTTAGGACTCCTGGGTTCTGTCCTCAACTTGAGGAGAGGAGGGGAGGGGGGGTCTCGACCAACCTCATTCTCCCCACAGTCCAAGCTGGCCCCTGCCCCAGCTCCGGTCCCACCTGCCACTGCCCCGCCCCCCATGGAGAAGCCCATTGTGCTGATGAAGTCGCGGGAGGAAGGCAAAGGCCCAGTGGGGGCATCGGAGGGGGCTGCCCAGCTCCCCACAGCTGCTGCCAAGGGGGAGAAGGAGGGACAGCGCCCCACGCAACCCGTCTACCAGATCCAGAACCGGGGCATGGGATCCGCTGCGTCTAGCAGCACTATGGACCGTGAGTACCCGCTGTGGGGGTGGGGCTAGGAGAAGGGGTGGGGTGGGGGGCGCTAGGAGGTTGTAGCCCCAGGGACATGGATATGGGAAGAGAAGCCAGTCCCCTTTAATATGCATGGGGTTACCAATGCATGCCACCAGACGGCAGCCAAGCCCTCCCCATTGGGCCAGCCTCCAGGCAGCTGGTGGGTTTTGGGGGTGTGGATTTGGGGCCTGGTGGGGAAGAGCTGAGAGCCAGGACTCCTGGGTTCTCTCCCCAGCTCTGGGAGTGGAGTGGGGGCGAGTGCTTAGAGCCGGGGGCTGGGCTATAGGACTCCTGGGTTCCGTCTCCAGTGGGTTAGAGCAGCACTGGGTGGGACGTCGCGTAGCTAAGCCCCCGGCTGGGGCTGTAAGACGCTCTGAGCCCCGTCTCTTCGTCCCTCCCCAGCCGTGGCGGGCCAGGCAAAGCTGCTGGCCCCGGAGAAGATGAAGCACAGCATCAAACTGGTGGACGATCAGATGAACTGGTGTGACAGCGCCATCGAGGTACCTGGCCCCGGCCCTCGCCCCACAGAGACCCCCCCAGCGGCCCCCTGCCCTCCCTGGCCCCTGCTAGCGAGGGCAGATCAGAGCCGGCGGCCCCTGGCGGAGGGAGGCCTCTTGCCCATTCCCTGCACCCCCGAGCCAGCTGGACCCTGTCCTGGGGCTGGATGGGAGCTGGCGCCCCCTAGAGGGGAAGGGCCCCGTGCCCCGCCCCCCTGAGCCAGCCGGTCCCTGCTTTGCACTGCTGCTCCGCAGGACTCCTGGGTTCTAAGGGAGCCGGCTGTCGCTGAGCTCTCTCTCCTCGGCAGTATCTGCTGGACCAGACCGATGTGCTGGTGGTCGGGGTGCTGGGATTACAGGGCACCGGCAAATCCATGCTGATGTCTCTGCTGTCGGCTAACCAGCCTGAAGAAGATCAAAGGTACGGGGGTGGGAGGGGGCTTTGTGGGTGTTTCAGGGGGGTAGCAACTGGGGAGGGGGCATGCACGGGGTCTGGTGCGTTTGTGCAGGGATGGGCGTGCATGCTGAGTGGCTGGGGCAAGCGGGAAGTTGGGGTGGGATGGAGGGGGGCAGGTGGGTGAGGGGGGGATGTGGGTGCTGGGGGGGCACCGGCAGTAGGGGCAGTGGTAAGTGTTTGGGGGGTGAAGGTGGGATATTGGCGGACAGTGGGGAGGTGGGATGTTGAGGGGGTGTCAGGTGGGGGATGGGCATCAAGAAGCAGGTCAAGGGGGCACACATTCTTCCCCCCATCCCTACTGACCCTTCTCGGTCCCCCCCCTACCCATCCCAGGGCCTACGTGTTCCGCACCCAGAGCCAGGAGATCAAGGAGCGCGGGGGGAACCAGACCAGCGGCATCGACTTCTTCATCACCCAGGAGCGCATCATCTTCCTCGACACCCAGGTCCCTGCCCCGCCCCCTTCTCCAGGGGGCGCCCCCCCTCACAACCACCCCTCTGGTGGCAATGGGCATGGAGATCCTGGCGCAATACTGCCTTTGGCCACCAGGGGGAAGCACCGCACGACGCCACCATCTGTGGCTGCTGGGCCCGCCGACGCTGGCCTGTGCCGGCCCAGCTTGGTACCCTGGCGAGCTCGGCTCCCAGGACTGACACCTCGTGCCGGACGAGGCCCCCTGGGCCGATAGCGGTAGGGGGTCTCTGTGGCACATGGGTTGGCGGGGGCTGATTGGTGGCATTGTGTGTATCCCCCTGTGAGCAGCTCGCATGGCTCTGGACAGTCGGACGCTGTAACGCTCTCTGCCCCATGTTCCCCTCCAGCCAATTCTCAGCCCTTCCATCCTGGACCATCTCATCAACAACGACCGCAAGCTGCCCCCTGAGTACAACCTGCCCCACACTTACGTGGAGATGCAGGTAGGCTACTGCCCCCCACCTCCCATCCGGCTCCAGGGCGGGCACTAGCTGGCTCACTGGGACGAGGAATGGGAAACCCCATCTATGGGGTGCTGGCTCCGATCCAGCCCCAGGGCCGGGGGCTGGCTGGCTCTGGGGTCCAGGAAACAGGACAGGGGGCCTTGCCCCTCTAGCGGGTGCTGGCTCTGATCCAGCCCCAGGGTGGGGGGTAATGGGATACACAGCTATGATTGGTTGCTACTATTTGGGGGGGAGGGGGCATTCGCTTTGCTGGCTGGGTCCTGGGGGGAGACCCCACCCCAGAGACTCCTCCTTGGACAGCTGCTCTGCTCCCCGCAGTCCCTGCAGATCGCGGCCTTCCTCTTCACCGTCTGCCACGTGGTCATCGTGGTGCAGGACTGGTTCACCGACCTCAGTCTGTACAGGTGAGAAGGCCTCTAGCAGGATGGGGCATGGGGCCCTTCCCCTCCGGGGGGCGCTGGCTCCCATCCAGCCTCAGGGCTGGGACTGGCTGGTGGGAGGGGGGGCAGGGGCAGGAAATAGGGTGTGGGATCTTTCCCCTCTAAGGGGCGCCGGCTCTGATCTAGCGCAATGGCTGGGACTGGCTGGCTCTGGAGGGCAGGGAATGGGACACGGATTCTTTTCCTCTGGGGGGCACTGGCTTCCATCCAGCCCCAGGGCTGGGACTGGCTCGCTTGGGGTGGGGGATGGGAATGGGGCACTGGGTGTTTCCCCTCTAGGGGCACCGGCTCTGATCTGGCCCCAGGCTGTTTCGGGAGATGGGCTCCGGGCCCCTCTCGCTCAGCAATTCATGTGTGACTCAAGTTTGCCAGGTCTCAGCCCCATTCCCAGCAGGGACAGGGACCCAGGGCCCCCCAGCTCCCCACTAACCGCAGGTCCCTGTGTCCCCACGGCAGGTTCCTGCAGACGGCCGAGATGGTGAAACCCTCCACGCCCTCCCCCAGCCACGAGTCCACCGGCTCCTCGGGCGCCGACGAGGGCACGGAGTACTATCCCCATGTCGGTGAGCAGCTGCTGCCCCCTGCAGCATGGCGCCCCCCCAGCGCCAGCCTGG